TTAGTCTTGTTCGATTATGATCACACAAGTTTTCTTTGATGCCCAAATGTCTTAGCTCTTAGAGTAAACCAACCGTGTTCTATTGGTGTACTTCTATTGTGGCCATAAATTTCTTAAGTAGACATTTATGAAAGTGCAATGTGATAACTCCTTTAGAATACAAGGAATGACATATCCTATCTTAATCATTCTTCTATCTTCATTGGATTCCTAGTGCATCCAACTAATTGCCCACGTGTAACATATTAATGGGTCTATCGAAACGAGTGTCAAAGTACATAAGTCCTCTAATAAGATAACCATGATGAGTTCAAGTCTAAGGACCATTTATACCTATCTTGTATAAGATTCCCATAGACCAAAACCAAATGGGTTCTCATGGTAGTCAAGTCTAGTGATATGTTCCGTAACATACATCACTTAAGTGCTTGGTTTGGCATCACTATGCCAATAGGTCCGAGATCTCTTACTACTATCAAACAAGTATAAGCATAGCACTCATAAGTCTATCCGCATTTTGTCAATGTCCATTCTTGATGATGTAATGACTTTAATGATATCATTTACGTGCATTAGGGTTTGTTTCATATCTTTCAATCAATCACTATTGCAAATGTATATCATAAAGACTTCTATCTTGTTCTACTGAATTTATCAACATGTAAACATAAGAATTAATAGAATAATTTTTTTGTTATTATTAAAATAAATGATGCAAGTAATACATTAACTTAGGCCCATCCAAACATGGTTAGATCTTGGGCACCAATACTAACATGTCTTATCTTAGTCATACACCTACCTCCAATAGATTTCTTATACACCCAATAAATAGCTTACGTGTAACCCTTTACTAGGTTCATCGAAATAAGTGTCAAGGTGCATAAATCCTCTAATGAGATAATTGTAAGGACTTCAAGCCTAAGGACTAGTTGTATCTTTCTCGTATGAGATTCCTATAGACTAAACCAAATAAGTTCTTATGGGGAGTCAAGTCTAGTGATATGTTCTCTAACATAAATCACCTAAGTGCTTGCTTTGGCATCATCATGCCAATAGGTGTGAGATCCGATAACGCCCCCGCCCCAATCATATTTCTACTACCCAAGTAAGGTACTAGACGAAGCACGTTACGCCGACATACCCTAAACTCTAAGTAGTTCCCTTATGATATTTTTAAAACTTTAACAACACATTACGTATATAACTCCTTAAGATAAAATTTACATCACATAATTAAATATATTAATAAAACATTACAGAAATATTCAATTTCTCACAAACTCCATACCTCAAATTTATAGATAAAATAAAAACTAATATATGGTGCCTCACATGAGCCGGTTAGGAGGAGCCGCCTACATCCATACCAACTGTTCTTTTTCCGTCACAACATAAAAATAACAACAGGGTGAGCCAAAGCTTAGTAAGTAGGGTGATGCATGTGATATGCAATGTTTTTTTGACTTCCCACCATACTCATAAATTTTAATCTCGGGTACCTTGGGTATTAGCCAGTCTACTCTATTTATCATCTAGGTGGTCCGAGCATCACCTTCTACTACAACGGAATTATCCCTCATTGTAACTACCGTTAGCAAAAATCCATCGTTTAACAAGTGCAAGCACATAGCTTGATTTCATCCGGATGATCCTCGGATCATCTTGTGTTACAACAAAATTATCCCTTGTTGTAACTACTATTAGCGGGAATCCATCGTCTAATAGTGCGGGCACACATCCTATAGTACTCGGACTACTAATACCCATTTATTCCAGTTAGGTTATCAAACCTAGAAGTATAAACCATTTCTCAATCAATTGACTTGTCTTAAACCACCCACTATGCACATGATGCACGTGATGACATATTTAATCACATTCAACCAAATTTGGGTACCAACCCTTCATTCTCATGCCATACTCATGGTCCAACCCACACTCGAATTTACCCGTTGCTCACATACCAATCATGATACTCATAGCAGGAACACAACCTCCGGTCATTAATATTGTTAATTAGTTTTGTTAATATTTAAAAGAAGGTCTACGTCTATTTACTTTAATCCAAGCCCATTAACTTTATCCTAATTCCATTGACTTTATTCAATTCCATTTTATTTAGTCCAAGCCCATTTAGTATATTCCAAACCCATTAATTTTGTTCAAGTCTAATTCTTTGGTTTTAGGGTTTATTACCGGGCAACTCCTAATCGAGTAAATAATTTTCCAATTTTAGAACATAATTAAATCTTACCCATTTTATTTTAGATACTAGACATATTTATTTATAACATATACAAAATTTAGATCTAAATACCAAGTACACAATTAATTACAAATTTTGAAACTTAAGGAGCAATTTGCCTATTAGTAGTTTGTCTAGAGCTATCCATACTAAATCGGGTATAACTCTTTGTACACGAATCTAATGATCAAGAAATTTTAAAGGTAGTTATTTGAAATATATATGAACAACTTTTATTCTTTACATTTTACCCAAAAATCGACCTAAAATCCTTGAACATGCACCCCAAAATTCGGACAGAATTTACTCCTTATCAGCACTAATTTATTAGTTCATTCCAAGCCAACTTTAAACATGTTTTAGTTCACTTAAATTTAGTCCAAGTTCAATCCAACCCATCGCCACATACTTTGACATTTTTCAAAACATCATAACATCATAAATCATCACAACAAGGCATCCATACATAGATTTATCCCAAGCATCAAGCATATAACCATTGAAAATTATTACAACCCATGAAATAAACACTAACAAGATAACTTAAAAAAATAATTTAAGAAATTAATCAGCCCAAAAAATGAAACCTACTTACCTCTTTTAGGTTTGATTAGAATTTTCTTAGCTCTTTTTCTTTCCTTTTTCCCTTTCTCTTTCTCTTTTCTTTCTTTCTCTCTTTTTGCTGTTTTTCTCTCTTGAATTTGGCTTCCCTTTTTAATTCTGGATGGCTACGGTTTTTGGCCCAAAAATTGCAGCAATTTAACCCTCTCTTTCCCTTATATACCCACCTTTTATCCTCTCATTTATTTATATCATAAGTGTTACAATTTAACTAGGCCAAATGTAAAGTGAAGGAAGCTTGGAAGGCAAAGTCGGCATGTTTTGGAAGTCAAAGGTGATGATTTGGCTTTTAAGCATTTAATTCAAGTGCTTAGGTGGCTAAAGAAAACTTAGGATAAATAAAAAACTTAATAAGCTGGGTTAATGTAATTAGACAAAATTTCTTTCATAAAAAATTCAGAAATTTTCATTTTTAAAATTTTGAATTTCTTTTTCCCCAAAATTTCAGCAGTGTTACCTCCTAACCCATCTATACTAAAATGTGCATAACTCTTTCTATATGTATCCAAAATTTATGAAATATTATAGAGGGCTAGTAAAAACATAGAAAAAAAATTTTATGCTTTATGTTTTTCTCAAAAATCAATCTAAAAGCATCAAATAAATCTCATAAGATTCGGCAGATTCTTCTCCCAAAATTCCAGCAGAATGCATTTCGAAACAACCCTCACTATAATTGGTATAACTCTTAATTTATATGTATAAATATTATACAATTTTATACAGGACTATTAAACACATAGATGAACAACTTTCATTCTTTAAGGTTGACCCAAAAAGTATTCTAAAGTCCTGAAATAATTCACACAAAACGCGGGAAAAATATAGTCCTTAAAACACCGATTTTGCATATTTGATTTCTTTAATAATTAAGCCATTAATCTTAAGCACAATAACTTTAATTTAACATAAATCACATATTTCAAGCATTAATTTCTCATGATGAAATGATAATTATACTTACTCTTAATATACATATATATAGAATTATTCTAATACACGTTGCGTTACGGATAAGGGTTTTTACGGGGTTACGGATCTCCTACTAAATATATTTTAATTTTATGTTTTTCATAAAATGGAAAAAAATCATAGAATTTATAATTATGATAAAAGGAAAATGTTTCATTAGTTAGATATTAATATGTATAAATGTGTTTGAATTATGGATTAATGGTATGGATGACTTGGCCCATGTAATTTTTTAGGAATTAATGCTTGTCATTTTTGGTTGGGTATGACATGTTTGTCTTGCCTTCTCTATTATTCTTAGGTGTCTTCTTTTCTTATCTTACTCCCTTTGAATGTAACTCGAGGTTTCTGACTTAAAAATATAAAAATAGAAAGATAAGTTGTATAGGTACGTAAGAAGATGCCACGAAAGAAAATAAAATATAAAGCCAAATGGAGTTTTTAGAATTCTTCACCTAGGTTTTGACCCACTCACCTTCTTATGGCTCGGGGAGACTAGTTTTAGAAATCCATTATGATTCACTAGTTTTTGAGTCATGTTTGTGTAGTTTGCATTATATGTTTAATATGAGTTTGATATGATTAAACACTAGAATACATGATGGGAAGAATTTGATTAATCAAATGATGAAACCTAATAAAAGAAAATTCCTTCAATCGGATATCAAGTTATTTTCCTTCCAACATTATTTGGAGAAAATCTTTCGATTATCGTTGACTTGTTCTAATAACTCAAGACAACTTCCTCCTTCGAGGCATCGAATCATGAGCAACATATTGTCCCCGAATGTTTGGGTCCAACATGAAGTGAATTATTTGGTTTGTTGAGTGACCGAAAGCCAAAAAATTGAAAATAGGCCTCACCATCCACCCAAAAACTCAAAATTACCATTTGGACTTAAACATAGGATTTTTGTCTAAAAAATTTGAAATAAGCCTCCTTATATTCCCAAAAGCACAAATTATAATTCGAATACGGACATAAGATTTTTGTGTAAAAATTCAAAATAAGCTTTACCATTATCCCAAAAGCTTGAAATAATAATTTTGACACAAGCATAGAATTTTTGTCTAAAAATCTAAAATTAGCATTGCCATCCTTACAAAAGTACCAAATCACAATTAAGACATGAACACTAGATTTTCATTCAAAAATTAGGAAAAAGCTTCACCATCCTCGCTAAAGTACAAAATAAAAAATTTGGACACAAGCGTTGGATTATGGGTCAAAATTTTGAATAAAGCTCACTATCCTTCCAAAATTGAAAAATCACAATTTTGACACAAATGTAGGATTTTGATCTAAATACTAGAAAAAAACCTCTGCATCCTCCCCAAATCATAAAATTATAATTTGAATAAAAACAAAGGATTCTTGTTTGAAAATTGGAAATAAGCCACGCCATCCTCCCAAACGTGCAAAATTACATTAATGACACAAATGTAGGATTTTTATCTAGAAATAAAAAATAAGGATCCTCGTTCTCCCAAAGGCTTAAAATTAGAATTTAGACATAAATATAGGATTTTCTTCCAAGAATTGAAAATAAGGCTTGCCATCTTTCAAAAAACACACGATCACGATTTGGATGTAAATGTAAGAATTTCGTCTAAAGGTTGAAAATAAGTCTCATTATGCTCCCAAAAGTGCGAAGTCATAATTTGGAACTAATGTAGGATTTTGGGTCGAAATAGGAAATAAGCCTCACATCCTTCGAAAGTAGAAAACCATAATTTGAATACAAATGTTGGATCTCTATACAAAAATTGAAAATAAGGTTCTCCAGACCTTCCTAAAGCATAAAATTGCAATTTGGACATGAATATAGGATTTTCGTTCAAGAATTGAAAAAAACAATCACTAACCTCCTAGAAGTACAACATCACAATTTGGACACAAAAGTAAGATTTTGGTATGAAAATTGGAAATAAGGCTCGCCACCACGACAAAAATTAGGAATCATAATTCAAACACAAACATTGGATTTGTGTTCAAACATTAGAAATAAGGCTCGCCATCCTTCCAAAAGCACGGAATCGTAATTTGAAAACTAATAAAGGAGTTTTTTTTCCTAAGAATTTGAAATAAGGCTCGCCATCCACTCACACGTGCAAAAATATAATTTGAACATAAACATAGGATTTTCATTTGAAAAATGGAATTAAGACTCACTAACCTCCCAAAAGTGTAAAACTACAATTTGAACCAAAACATAGGATTTTCATCCAAAATTGGAAATAAGCCTCGCCATCCTCGCTAAAAGCATAAAATTACATTTTAGGCACAAATGTAGGATTTTTTCTAAAAAAAAGGAAATAAGTCTAGTCGTCTTGCCAAAAGCACAAAATTGTAATTTTGACACAAACATGGTATTTTCATCCGAGAATTGGAAATCAACATCGCTATCCTCCCAAAAGGGCAAAATCACAATTTGGACACAAGCATAGGATTTTGTTAACAAATTAGAAATAAATGTCGCCATCCTCTAGAAGCATGGAATGGTAATTTGGATAGTAGGATATTTTTCCAAAGATTGGAAATTATCTAACCATCCTCCAAAAAGCACAAAATTACAATTTGGATGCAAACATAGGGTTTTTGACCAAGAATTTGAAATAAGATTAGCCATCCTCCTAAAAGTACGAAAACATAATTAAGATAAAAATTAAAAAAATTTGAAATAAGCCTCACCATCCATGAAAAAATATGAAATTACAATTTGAACACAAGCATAGGATTTTTGTCCGATAGTAAAAATAAGGCTCACTATCCTTCAAAAATCACAAAATCACAATTTGGACACCAACATAAGATTTTTGGTCCAAAGATTTAAAGTAATCCTTGGCATCCTCCGAAGAGTATGAAACCACAATTAAGAAACAATGTTGGATTTGAGTGTGAAAATTGAAAATAACCCTCATTATCCTTCTAAAAGCTTAAAATTTCAATTTGGACTCAAAGGTAGGATTATCATCCGAGAAAATTTGAAATAAGCCTTGGCATACTCCTAAAAGTGCAAAACCACAATTTGAATACAAACTTTAGATTTGTGTTCAAAAGTTGGAAATAAGGCTCACCATTCTCCCAAAAAGCCTAAAAATTACAATCTTAGCACAAACATAGGATTTTTGTCTAAGAATTGAATATAAGGCTTCTTATCCTCCCAAAAGCGTGAAGTCATGATTCGGATACAAACATAAGATTTTAATTCAAAAATTGGAAAATTTTCTCACGATCCTTCTAAAATTACAATGTCAAAATTTGGACACTAAGGCATGATTTTGGTATGAAGAAGGGAAGTACTCCTCACCATCCTTCCAAAATTATGAAACCATAATTAGTACCCAAATGTACGGTTTTTGTTCAAAAATTAGAAGATGCCTCATAATCCTTAAAACGTGGAAAGTTACAATTTGGATTCGAATGTTTGATTTTTTTCCTTCTAAAAATAGAAAAAAATCCTTGTCATCCTTTAAGAAGAGAAAAATTACAATTTCAATACAAACATAGGATTTTGATTCAAAAATTTGAAATAACCTTCCCTATACTCCTAAAGCGCAAAATTAGAATTTGAACACAAAGATATTATATTGGTCTAAGAAATGAAAATAAGGCTCACCATCCTCCGTAAAACATGAAACAACAATTTGACACAAAGTTAGGGTTTTCATTTTGAAAATAGAAATAGGCTTGAAAACGTCCCAAAATCCCGAAATTAAAATTTGAACAAAAATGTATGGTTGTGGTTTGGGGATTGCAAACATTCTAGGCAATCCTCCTAATAGTACAAAACCCCAATTAAACACATACTTAAGATTTTGGTTCGAAAATCATAATAACGTTCGCAAGTAACCAAAAAAGCATCAAATTGCAATTCGAACACAAACGTAGGATTTTCTTTTTAAAATTACCTTTGCCATCCTCCCAAAAGTTCAAAATCATAATTTAGACAAAAATGTTGAATTTTTGTCCAAGAATAGAAAAAAAGGCTCCCTATACTCGAAAAATGCAAAATCACAATTTGGACATAAATGTATGATTTTTGTAAAAACTAGAACTTAGGCTCGCCATCCTACAAAAAGTAAAAATCATAATTAGGACAAAAATGTTGGATTTGCGTTCGAAAATTTGAATTAAGCATGGTCATACTTCCAAAAGTACAAATTCATAATTTGCACAAAAATAAAAGATTTTGTATAAAATTGGAAATAAGGCTTGCCTTCCTCCCAAAAATGCAAAATTACAATTTGAACACAAAAGTATGATTTTTTTTTCTGAAAAACTGAATAAGGCCCACCAACCTCCCAAAAGCACAACGTTGCAATTTCAACCCAAACATATGATTTTTAGTCGAAGACTAGAAATAATTCGGCTATCCTTTAAAAAGCATGAAGTTACAATTTTGACACAAACATAGTATTTTTGTGCGAAAATAGGAAATTCGCCTTGCTACTCGGCCTAAAGTGCCAAATGGTAATTTGGATACAAACTTAGAAATTTTGTTTGAGAATTAGAAAAAAAAGGTTTGATATCCTCTAAAAAACACAAAGTCATGCTTTAGACAAAAACATATGATTGTGGTTTTAAAATTAGAAATAAGCCTCGACATCCTTCCAAAGGTAAAAAACCATAAATAAGGCATAACATTAGATTTGCATCCAAAAATTGAAAACAAGCCTTGCCATCCCCCAAAAAGCAAAAACTAACAATTTCAACATGAACGTAGATTTTGTTCTGAAAATTTGGAATAAACCTCGCCATCCTCCGATTCATGTGAAATTACGATTTGAATACGTTGGATTTTTGTTTGAAAATTATAAATAAGCCTCGCTATCCTTACAAAATTAAAAAACCATAATTTGGATACAAATGTTGAATTTGTATCAAAAAACAAAAAACAAGGCTCACTATCCTCTTAAAAGCACAAAATCACGATTTGGATACAATCATAGGATTTTTCATCCAAAAAATAGAAATAAGTTTCGTCACATGTCATAATGTACGAAAGTCACAATTTGGACACAAACTTAGGATTTTGGTTTGAAAATAGAAAATAAGCCTCGTCATTGTTCCAAAAGTGCGAAACCAAAATTAAGACATAAGCATAGGATTTTCATCCAAAATTTTAAAATAAGGCTCACCATCCTCCTAAAAGCATAGAATCCAAATTTGGAAAAAAAGGGTAGGATTCTAGTTTGAGAATTGGAAATAAGGCAAGCCAACCTCCCAAGAAAGCAAAATTACAACTTGAACAAAAACATAGAATTTTTTTCATAAAATTAAAAATAAGGCTCACTAACCTCCCAAAAGCATAAAATTACAATTTGGACACAAACGTATGATTGTAGTTTGAAAAATAGAAATTAGCATCGCCATCCTCCCAAAAGCATAGATTTATAATTTAGACAGAAACATAAGATTTTGGAACAAATATTGGAAATAAGCCTTAACGACCTTTAAGAAATGCAAAATCATAATTCAAACACAAATGTAGGATTTTTGTTTCAAATCCGAAAACAAGTCTCAGCATCATCTAAAAAATTTGAAACCAAAATTTGGATGTAAATGTCAAATTTTTGTTTCAAAATTCAAATAAGCCTCGCAATCTTCCTAGAAGAGCTAAATTACAATTTGGACATGAACATAGGATTTTGGTCCAAGAATTAGAAATAAGGCTCTCGATTCTTTGAAAAAAAATTAAAACTTCAACACAAACATATGATTTTTTTAAAATTAGAATGAAGCCTCATAATCCTCTTAAAAGAACAAAACCACAATTTTCACGCAAGCATAGGACTTTAAACCAAAAATAGGAAATAAGGCTCATTATTCTCATGAAAGCATAAAATTACAATTTGGACAAAAACATAGAGTTTTTGTCCAAAAAAGAAATAGGGATTGCAATCCTCCTAAAATCGAGAAAGCATAATTTGGACACAAACATAGGATTTTTGTCTTAGAATTGGAAATAAAGATCTCCATCCTATTGAAACTCCAAAATCACAATTTGGACTCAAACATAGAATTTTTGTTCGAGAATAAAAAATAAGACTTTTAAAAAATAACTCCTTATCATTAGAGGAAAAGGAAGCAAAAAATTATAATCTAAATTATGAGGATAAGGAAGTAACAACCTAGAGTCCAAAAGGAACTTAATGCAGCCCCTCTCCTTGTCCTTAGAGGATAAGAAAACTCTTCTCCTATATATATATTAGAGGAGAGGTGCGACATAAAAGATGATGAAGAGAGAGAGAGAGTATTCGAACAAAAATAAAGAATAAGGAGCAAAGAATAATTTTGGCCACCCTTAAAACTAAAATAGGGCACACGACCAAGAGAGAAAAATAAGAAGAAAATAATTTTCTCCTAAACCCTAGAAAGATATACTCTTTCCTTATCCTTTGAGGTTGTTGCAAAATTGCTCGGGATTGATTTTGATAGAAAATACTAAATCAAAAAAGGTGAAGCTAGCACCTCATTAATTTTGAGTGCTTCTTTATGGATACTTGAACTGCATGGATCATCAATATAGGTTAGACACTTGGGTGGCTTTTCCGAAAAGGAATTTATATTTGTACTACAAGAGGTAATTTTTTATCTTTGCTTTAAATTCATGTATGTATGATTAGTAGATTCAACGACTTGATCTTAGGCTCTTAGATGGAGGAAATTTTTTCTTTATTTCGCACCTCCATAATATGCATGATCCTTCTCAAACATAAAATTTTGTCCAAAATTTAGAAATTACCTTTTCCTTACTTCTCAAAGCATGAATTCACAATTTGGATATAAACATAAGATTTTTGTCTTTAAATTTGAAATGAGGCTCGCTATCCTCCTAAAATTATAAAATTACAATTTAAACTCAAATGTTAGATTTTCATCCAAAATTTGCAAATAAGGCTCGCCACCCAAATGTACTAAATCATAATTTGAAAATAAATATAAGATTTGTTTTTGTAAAAATTGGATACAAGCCTCGCTATGCTCTCCGAAGCATGAGAAATCACAATTTGGACACAAACATAGAGTTTTTGTCCAAAAAACAAACGAAGGCTCACTATCCTCCCAATAGCATAAATTCAAAATTTTGAAACAAACATAGGATTTTGATCCAAGAATTGAAAGTAAGCCTCATGATTCTCTATGAAGTGCAAGATGACAATTTGATCACAAATGTAGGATTCTAGTCCAAAAATTAGAAAAAAAAAAGCTTGTTTGTTTCTAAATAGTAATTTTGTACTTTTGCGAGGATGGCGAAGCTAATTTCCTATTTTTGGCAAAATATTATATGTTTTTTCCCAACTTCTAACTTTGATATTTTGGAAGCATGTTGAGGCTTGTTTTCAATTATCGGACAAAAATCTTGTGTTTTGGTCCAAATTGTGACTTTGTGCTTATGTTAGGATGGCAACACTAATTTATATTTCTCTAACCAAAATCCAATGTTTGTGTCCAAATTGTGATCCCGCACTTTTGCAAAGATGCGAGGCTTATTTCAAATTTTTGGACAAAAATCCAACAATTGTGTACAAATTGTAATTTATTACTTTTGGGAGGATTTCCTTATATTGAATTTTTAGACTCAAATCCTATGTTTGTATACAAACTATGATTTTGAGCTTTTGGGAGGATAGCAAGCCTCATTTCCAATATTCATACCAAAATCCTATGTTTGTGTCCCAATTGTAGCTTCAAACTTTTGAAAGGGTGGTGATGCTTATTTTTTTATTTTTTGATGAAAATCTTATGTTTGTATCCAGATTTTGATTTTGAGCTTTACGGAGCATAAGGAGCCTTATTGCAAATTTTTGGAAGAAAATCTTACGTTTCTCTCAAAATTGTAATTTTGCATTTGTAGGAGAATTGCAAACTTTATTTTCAAATTTTCAAACCAAAATCCTACATTTGTATCAAAATTGTGACTTTATGGTCTTTGAAGGATGGCAACGCTTATTTCAAAATTTTTGGAAAATTTTTTTATTCGAGTCCAAATTGTGATTTTGTGCATTTGAGTGGTTGGAAAGCCTTACTTGAAATTTTCAGAAGAAAATCCTTCATTATTGTTCAAATTGTTATTTTGTACTTTTAGGAGGATAGTTAGCTTTATTTCTAAGTTTGAACCAAAATCATACGTTTGTTTTCGAATTTTGATTTTTAACTTTAGGAAGGATAGCAAGCCTTATTTCAATTTTTTTAACAAAAATCCTAGATTTTTGTTCAAATTGTAATCTTGCACTTCTTGGATGATGTTGATGCTTATTTGCAATTAGATTTTTTTCAAATTGTATTCTTGCACTTCTTGGATGATGTCGATGCTTATTTGTAAATTTTAGACCAAAATTCTATGTTTGTAATCAAATTGTGATTTTGAGCTTCGAGTAGGATAGGAAGCCTTATTTCCAATATTTTGAACAAAATCCTTTTTATGGGAGGATAGTAAGACTTCTTTACAATTCTAAAAAAAAAATCATATATTTTTATCAAAATTATCACTTTGGACTTTTAAGAGGATGGCATGACATGTTTTAAATTCTCGAACGAAAATCCTACGGTTGTTTCCAAATCATGGCTTGGGGAATTTGTCAAGATGGCGATTGTTAGTTACGATGCTCGAGATGAAAATCCTATATTCGTGTCGAACTTGTAATTTTGCACTTTTTGGGGGATGGAGAGACTTATTTTCAATTCACAAATGAAAATCCTACATTGGTTTCTTAGCTAGAGTTTCATACTTTTAAAAGGATGGCGAGGCATATTTACAATTTTCATACAAAAATCCTACATTATCCAAGTTGTGATTTTGCACTTTTAAGAGGATAATTAGCCTTATTTCAATTTTCCAGAAAAAATTCATTTGTTTGTGTCCAAATTTTAATTTTCCTCTTATGGAAGGATGGTGAGTCCTATTTCTAAATTTTGAAAACAAATCCTACGTTTTTGGCTTTTGGGAGGATCACAAGGCTTATTTCCACCAAAATCCTTTGTTTAGGTCAAAATTATGACTTCGCACTTATGTGAGGATGGCAAGACTTATTCCTAATTCACGGACCAATATCAAGCATTTGTGCCAAAATTAGGATTTTATGTTTTTTGGAGGATAGCAATACTAATTTTCAATTCCCAAATGAAAATCCTAAATTGTTGGCCAAATTATAACATTTTGGTTTAGGTGAGATGGAGACACCTATTTCTATTTTTTATTTTTTTTTACCAAAATCCTCCATTTGTTTCCAAAATGTGACTCCATGCTTTCAAGTGGATTACAAGACCTATTTGCAATTCTCAAATGAAAAGCCTACATTTGTGTCGAAATTGTGTTTTAGGCTTTTGGAAGGATTACGAGGCTTACTCCAAGTTTTCAAATGAAAAATTCTATTTTTTTTCCAAATTATCATTTTGTATTTTTGGGGTGGATAAGGATCCTTATTTCTAATTTTTTGATAGATATCCTACGTATGTGTGCAAAATATAATCTCATGCTTTTGGAAGGATGGTGAGGTTTGTTCCAAATTTTTGGACATAAATCCAACAATTGGGTCCTAATTGTGGTTTCATACTTTTGAGAGGATGGGGAGACTTATTTCCTCTTTTTTGAACAAATATCCTATGTTTGTGTCCAAATTAGGATCTTTGTATCTTGAGGATGGTAAGACAAATTTCCAATTATCGAATGAAAGTCCTACATTTGTATCCAAATTGTGATATGGGAATTTTGGATGGATGGCAAGACTTATTTCTAATTTTTTAATCAAAATCCTACATTTGTGTCCAAATTGTGATTTTGTGCTTTTGGGAGGTTGGCATAGCTTGTTTCCAATTTTTGGATGAAAATCCTCCATTTGTGTCTTAATTATGGTTTTCTACTTTTAGATTTCATACTAAAATCATTCATTTGTGTCAAAGTTTTTACTTTTTGCTCATGGGACAATGACGATCCTTATTTAGAATTTTGTTGACGAAAATCCTATGTTTGTATTCAAATTGTAATTTTGCACTTATAAAGGGGTAGGGAGGCTTATTTCAAGTTTTCAAACAAAAATCTATTGTTTGAGTCCAAATTATAATTTCAATTTCATGCTTTTAGGAGGATAGTGAGGCCTATTTATAATTGTTGGAAAAAAATCTTATGCTTATGTCTAATTTGTGATTTCATACTTTAGAAAGGATGGTGAGGCTTATTTCCCATTTTCGGGCCAAATTCCTACATTAGTGTCCAAATTATTTATTTTCAATTCTGGGACTAAAATCATATGTTTGTGTCCAAATTGTCATTTTGGACTATTAGTCGGACAGCGAAACGACAAAATTTTCACATTTGAGGCCAAATTGTAATTTTGCTATTTTGGAAGGATAGCGAGCCTTATTTCTAATTTTTGAATGAAATCCTTAATTTATGTCCAAATTGTAATTTTATGCTTTTAGTCATTTGGTGAGGATTATTTCCAATTTTCATACCAAAATTATACATTTGTGTCCAAATTGTGGTTTGGTACTTTTCAAAGGATTGTTTCTAAATTGGACTTTTGCATTTTTAGGAAGATGGTGAGGTTTATTTACAATTTTTTTAAAAAATTTAATGTTTTTGTCCCAATCATAATTTCTCATTTTTTGGAAGGATAGTGAGTCTTATTTCTAATTTTTGAATGAAAATCCTACGTTTGTGTTGTATGTGTGATTCCGTGCTTTTGGGAGCATGGCAACACTTATTTCCAATTCTTGAACCAAAATCCTATGTTGGTATCCAAATTATGGCTTTGTGCTTTTAGGAGGATGATGAGGCTTATCTTTGCATCACATTATAAAGGATCATGCATCCTATAGAGGTACGGAATAAATAAAAAAATTTATCTATCTAAGGGCCTAAGATCATGCCGTTAAATCTACTAATCATATTTATATATGAATAATAAGGTAAAAGCAAAGGATTACCTCTTGTAGTGCGGATCTAAATTTCTTTTCGTTGATTAGCCATCCAAGTGCCTTGCCTCTATCGATGATCCACATAGCCCATGTATCCACAAATAAGCACTCAAAATTGATGGGGTGCCGACTCTACTGTTACGGTTAAGTATTTCCTCTAGAAATCAATTCGAGCAACGATAAAATAACCTTAAAGGAGAAGGTAAGAGTATTTCTTGCTAGGGTTTTAGGAGAAAACTATTTTCTCTCTTTTTTTCTCTCTTGGCTGTGTGCCCTAGATAATTTTAAGGGCTGGCCAAATTTTCTCTTTTTCTTTTCTTTTATTGGCCGAATTATTGTCTCACAATTTTACTTGACCAAAAATACTCTTTTTAGGTAATCATTCTATTTATGCCACACCTCGCCTCCTATTTATAGGGAGAGAGGTTCCTTATCCTCCAAAGATAAGAAGAGGGGTGACTATGAGTCCATAAAGGACTCTAGGTTATTGATTCCTTATCCTTTAAGGATGAGGAGTTATTTAATATGTGGATGATTTGATTATTATCTTTAAAACATTCGACCTTATCCAATAAGGTTGATGTTTATCTTTAAAACATTCATCCTTATTTAATAAGGTTGATGTTTATCTACAAAAAATTCATCCTTATCTAATAAGTTTGATGTTTATCTATAAAAAATTCATCCTTATTAAAAAAGGTTGATGTTTATCCTCATACTAAAATTATCTTAAGGCTTTTAATTCAACCTAATGGAACAAAACTATTTTATTTGGACTATCCAAATAAATATTCTTAGATTATTTTGGTAGGGTCCACACTAGAAAGTAATTTCCTAAAATATCCTTTAACCTAAATTAGGAAACTCCTTTTCTTTTAGGTTCTTTATTTCCAAATTTGAAACTAACTTCCAAATTAGGAGACTGATTTCTAAAATAGAAAACTTTTCATTTTGGAAACTCTTTCCAAAATAGGAAAATTTTATAATTGGAAACTTTTTTCCATATCCTTGCTTCTCATTTATAATGTGAATACTTAAACTTAGACATGTGACTTAATAGGCTCCTAGATATGTTGGCAATGTATCAAAAATAAAAGACACCTCTTTTATCTCTTGATACATAAATCAAGATTGGCCTCTAACAAGGCATCATGACTACTCAATTCTCTTAGAGGATTAGTTAATCCATTATTACCTTTCACGAGCATGGTTACCATATAATTCAGTCCTCATGTCGATTTATCACAATGTGATCTCAAACTTTGTTATTATTCTTATTTGATTATGATCACACAAGTTTTATTTGATTCCCAAATGTCTTAGCTCTTAGAGTAAACCAACTATGCTCTATTGGTGTACTCCTATTGTGATCATAGATTTCTTCAGCAGATATTTATCAAAGTGCAATGTGATAACTTCTTTAGCATACAAGGAATGACATGTCCAATCTTAGTCATACACCTATCTCCATTGGATTCCTAGTGCACCCAACAAATTGCTCACGTGCAACCTATTAATGGGTCCATCGAAACAAGTGTCAAAGTCCATAAGTCCTCCAATGAGATAACCATGATGACTTCAAGTCTAAGAACCATTTGTACCTATCTCGTATGAGATTCTCATAGACTAAAACCAAATGGGTTCTCATGACAAGTCAAGTCCGAGTGATATGTTCTCTAACATAAATCACCTAATTGCTTGCTTTAGCATTGCTATGCCAATAGGTGTGAGATCTCCTACTGCTATCATATAGCATGAGCATAACACTCATAAGTCTATCTCGCATTTTGCCAATGTCCATTTTTGATAATGCTACGACTTGGGATATTTAATAATATCATTTATGTGCATTAGTGTTTGTCTCACATATTTCGATCAATCACTATTGTAAATGCAAATCATAAGGACTTCTATCTAATTCTAGTGAATTTATCAACATGTAAACATCGAATTAATAGAATGAGTTCTTTATTGTTATTAAAATAAATAATGCAATAGTATATTAACATAAGCCCATCCAAACATGGTTAGATCTTGAGCACCAACACCAACAAATTATAGTTTCGTATTTTTAGGAGGATGGTGAGTCATATTTCTAAATTTGAAACAAAAATCCTATGTTTGGGTCAAAATTGTAATTTTATGATTTTTAAAGGATGGCAAGCCTTATTCCTAATTTTTGAATGGAAATCCTACATGATTTTCCAAATTATGATTTTGTGCTATTAGGAGGAAGGGGAGAGTTATTTTAATTTTTAGGCAAAAATCTTATTTTTGCTTCCAAATTGAGATTTTGGACTTTTAGGAGGATGGTGATGCTTTATAATTGTTTAACAATATTTTCAAGTTCTGTCCAAATTGTAATTTTGCTCTCCTGGGAGGATAATGAGCCTTAAGTACAATTTACAAAAAAAAAAAAAAAAAAAAGACACTTTTGTGCTCAAATTGTAATTTTGCTCTTTTGATAGAATGGCAAGGCTTATTTCCATTTTCGGACAAAAATCTACATTTGTGTCCAAATTGTAATTTCATACTTTTGGAAGGATGGCATGCCTAATTTTTAGTTTTTGAATAAAAATCCAATGTTTCAGTTCAAATGTGATTTTTCACTTCTTGGAGGATGGCAAGGCTTATTTTAATTTTTTAGGTTTGTGTCTAAGGTGTGATTCTTGGCTTTTGCAAAGATAGTGAGCATAATTTCCAATTTTTAGA